GCAGGACACATTATGCTGTTTGGAAAGTGTTGACAGGAAGTTGTCGTATTCTTTCCTCATTTAACATTGTAAATATTTGCGCTAATTTTTTGAATGTGCTTGTCATTTCCCTCATCACAGATTATTCAATCAGATAGTCAAATCAAATTTTGCTGTTGATGTCACGAATGAGACTCATTTTCCACAATTACTGAAGTCAAGCAGACAAAAAGAACAGAATATGGTGGTGAACGTGTCATCATACAGACACAGTAAAACAATAACTTATTGCTCACATAATCTTTAAAAATATGAATAATTTAATAACTCTGTTAAATATCGTCTTTAGTGAATCTCAAAAGCAATGTCCATTTTTTAAATAACAATGTTGTGATGTTTAAATTCAGTTCTGTCATGACAACTCTGAGTGTTTTGGCATGGTAATGGGAATGAAAATGTTGATAATATATTTGGTCTTGGAATAGGAATAGATAGAGTAGATCTGCTACGCTGCTGCTGCAGAGCAAGGGACTTACTAATCTAATACATACACGACTAAACAGTATATACATTTTATATAACATCACCGTAACATGAAAATAATTAGCAACTTATAGCCTAGGTATCTGCCAAAAAATGAATATCTGTGCATCTCTAGTTTTATGCGTTTACAGATATTCTAATATAATAATAATGTAATATGTACGACTAAACATTTTTAATCAGACCACAGATAATAACATTCTTGAACAGAGACTCAACAACGTGTGATCAACATTGCAAATAAAAAGGTGTCACGTCTGAAGATTGACTTAAATAAGTTAAATCTTAAAACTGTTATAATAAATATTTCCACTGCAGTCTTTCAGAGTAAGGTTGATCTTTTTCTGCATGAACAAAATTCATCCTTCACCAGCCAAAATTGTTCCAGATTTTCTATTTCTATCTTCGGCTCAGACAATTTGCCAGATCTGATTTGCCAGAAAGGACTGGAGCGCTGGATAAAACACTTTCAAATTGATCCCATTAATCCTGTATTCTTCCTTTTCATTACTATTCTGAGCCTGAGATGATGAAATGATGATGTTCTTTTTTTTATTTCACCATCACTCTTATGCTAAAGGTCGGACTGACCCAATGAGCTGATGGCAAGTTGAATTCGTTCGTAGTCTATTACATGTCTGCTCATGAAACATCTTATTTATAGACCTTGGTATGACTGTTTGCAGAGTCAGACAGGCAGTTCTGAGGGTTGAAGGGTTTGATTTAGCACAGCATGGTCCAAACTAAGTTCTCTCATCATTTCCCTTCGAGAACTCATTGGTTATTGAAGGGTGGAGTGGAGCACCGGGAAGGTGGGCGGGGCTGCAGCGGTGGGAGGAGCTTGGGGAGTTTGTTGGACTGAGCTGAATGGCTGTGGTGTCCTGTAGAGTGGGCTCACTGGTCTCCATCTCGAATACGGCTCCGCCCATCCTCATCAATGGCCAGTGGTCCCGTCCGGAAGACAGCCGAGAAGTCTGTCCAATGGGTCGGCGACTGCAGATGCAACACGCTCCAAAAAATGAAAAGGCCACCAAGAGGAGGATGGGTCCGATGATGATGGGAGGATTGTTTAAGGGGAGGAGTTTAGTAAAGGCAAGAGCCCCCACCAGGGTGATGTTAATGCCCGCCAACATGATGCAGAGCCCGCAAGCGCAGCAAAGAGCCGGGGACGGCAACCCTGGAGAGCGGAGCGCCCTCCTCTCACCTGACTTCTTAACTCCAGTGTGGGCATCTTCATTAGAGAAAATCATCCTCCAATACCGTTGACCTTCTCAGCCACTGCATAAAAAGGAGAAATGAGAGAGAGAGAGAGAGAGAGAGAGAACAGTGAACGAGGAGGAGAGCAGTAATGAGTATTATGGCAATGTGCTGGTCCTCAAACATCCGCCTGCCTGTTTGTGTGTCATGTCAGCACCAGCTCTGGGCCGAGCCAATTCAATTAGTGCCGTCAAGACCATATGAGTCTGATGATGTGAAAGCTTTGGCTGTGAGGAAATTACACTACCATATAACTTTATTACTTGCAAGACATGTTAATGTTTGCATGACAAGGCTTAACGGTTATGCAAATGTTTTAATCGGATGTTGTGTCTGCATAAGGAATTTAATCATGAACATCATATATATACATATTCCACAATTACAATTTCATAATCAAAGTAAACATTCTTATACATTTATGCATTGAACTGATAGATTAATTTTATTTAAATTTTGAATCTGATTATCCAAATCTCTCTATCTCTATCTATCTATCCATCCATCTGTCACTCAGTTGCTTTAGACGTTCTGGACTGGTAGTGACCTATACTTTATATACATTTAATCTAATTAAGATATTCAATATAAAAACATATTTAAAGTCAGTAATTTAACTGCGGGGGGGCATTACTCCTTTTTATCATGCATATATGAGCATGAACGATTCCCAGCTCTTCAGGTAAAAATATAAATTCGTCTGACTTTAAACTCACCAGAAGATGAGATTTCGAAGGGTTGTCCGGTGTTGTCCTGTATTTTAAGGAATCTTCAGGAGGTTCAGGTAATGTTATTTCGCTCTTCAACTTCAGCCGCTGGAGGAGCGCATCGGTTGGCTCTTGGAGGTTTGTGAAGGAGCGACTAGGCTGAGCACTTCACAACCGAGTCATTCCGCTCATCACCGCAGGGGGCGCTCTCGAGTTCCACATGATTACTCTACATGAAACCTGTTATCCTCCTCCTCCATATTAATCTTCAACGCTTTCTGGTTTGGCTGAAACATTACAAATTACATGATGAATCATATCTGCTCACACACGGTTAGTAGAATATAAATTCACTTGGAAACAAACGTTACAACTCGAGGTACTAGTGATTGACACTCATATCCAAGGACACACATTCTGTCTTCATCTCCTCCACATGGCAGGTGAGAAATGATGAAAACACGCTCTTTTTAGTGCAAGAAAGCCTTGAGGAAAGGTTTAAAGACAGAACACTCCTCTTTGTCGTCTGTGCTTTTCTTTATTGGGTTAATTCGAGTTCAGGTGCTAACAGTGAAGATATAAGCACTGACTGTTCATTCAGGTCATTTACATGAGGTACATTTTGCAGGGAGTAATTTAAAATAATTTACAAGGAGGACCATAATGTTCTCTGGCCCTGTTATTAAATGTAAAACTTGTGATTTCTGACACTTGATATTTCTGGATGGTGATTTTTAAAAATCATTTAATTGAGAGCAGTGTGACATATACTATATAAAGCCCTGTTTCACATACAGGGCTTAAACCAGGATTAGGCCTTAGTTCCATTAGGACATTTAAGAAGCTTTTATAAACGTGCCTTAGGAAAAAAAAAACATTATTTGTGTTGTGTGTCTTGAGATGTCTATTTTAAGATACGTCAGTGCAAGTTGCTTTCAGTTAAAACAGCTGAAACATGCATTTTAGACTGGACTAGGCTTAAGCCTTGTCTGTGAAACTGGGGGCATTTTAAACAGCATTTTGTTTCCCTAATGGTGATGGACAACAATCATCTTTTATAATAATTTGTAAAATGAACTAGTGATGGCAAAAAGTGATTAGGTATGGTAAAAGAAACGATGAAGAGTTAGGGATCTAACGCTTTCCTTAAAAAAAAAAAAAGATTTTAACCTTAAATCTTTATGATTGCCAGCTTTTATCAGTGTAATTGTAATCATCTAATTCAAAATAAACGATTTCTATTGCTATCCACAATGTTAAGCACCACACATAAAAGCAGCTAAGTGATTGTTACAGTTTACTGTACAGTATACAGTAAACTGCTGTATGACATCTTAAAGACTCGAGTATTGGCCAGGTTTCAGTGCAAACTGCTTTATTTCTCAAAATTGGAAAACCAAATGAACACCTCAAATCTGTTCCAGAGTTCTTAGGGTTTAAATGGCCATTCCATAGACATCTGGATTTAGACTAAGATACTGCATTACAGTATCATACAAGCAGAGTACTGAAAACATAGCCATTAATATGAGGTAGCGCCCTCTGGTGTCATCCCTGTAAATGTTTCCCAACACATACTCATAAATGTACATACATGGACATTCATCTGACCTCAAATAGCATTTTGAGCAACAAATAACAGGACAAATAACTGTGCATGTTTTATAATTTGATAATACAAAAGTCAACTGAGAGGTCATTTAGTAATTTTGCAAATTAGGAGCTCTGCCCCCCAAAATGGCAAAATTTCCACAGAATGCAAACTAAAAATATAAAACATACTCCACCTAATAACTGAGTCGGCTGCAGAATGGGCTCATTGCCCTGATGCATAGATAAATACTTCACATTTTCAACAAAATAATGTTCAACACTCTAAAAGACACTACGCAAGAACCATGCAAAAATATACATTAAATGAAAAAATATAATCATCTGAAAAGACAAAAATACTGTGCAATATTTACTAACTGTTTGAGCTGAAAGTAACTGGTCAAACGTCTATAATACCTCATGAGCACCCTAATTAAAGCAGCATACCTCTTGATGGTGTTTCAATACATAATGATACACTTCATAATGTATTTCTAAGATATGTTACTGTCAGGCAGCATGGCTTTACATATCTCAAATAAACCAAAACCTTATTCACTCAACAATAACTATAAACACTAGACGTTTGTTAACACAAAAAAATAAATAGAAAATAATATTAAAAAGTGACAAAGCAAGAGGTCCAGTGCTTTACAGTAACTTAAGTGTTTTTTAAAAAATGTTACAATTAATGCTAAAATAGATTAAAAAGCCTCACTGATGTTGAAATTAAAACATCTGTTATTTCCCTCAAAGCTGATCATCCTTTTTATATCTGACTGTAAAACACCACCAGCCATAAATATTGGGTAAAAATAAATATTGAAAAAAAACCTAAACCTGATGCCTAAAACACCCAAAACTCACATTACACAGAAAGACAATCAACCCGAGCTGTAAATTAATTAGAAACATCTGCATGTTTTTGGTTTGTATACTTAAGGTTAGTCTGTTCCTGTGCTACAGGTTGGTAGCACAGAGCTTGTGGTGCATACGCATGTGTGTGTTTGCTTTACGGTTCGTTCAAGAACCCATTCCGTTTGCCAGAGAATGCACTTGTATGAAGGGTTGTAACGCTGGAGCACCTGTGGAGTGGGAAGGCATCAGGTGTTGGTGCGTAGTGCTTGAGACTTTGCTCGGCGACGGGCTAATCTGGAGTTGGAGGGAGGAGAGAGCCTCATGGAGCAGACGACGGCACAGAAGTCCTCCTGCTCTTCCTCCTGCTGGGACAGTTGTCGATTGAATGCGATGGCTTCAGCCGCGAACTGTGTCAGGTCTTTAGTGCTGCAGTTCCTGTGGGTTCAACCAGAGCGACGGTTAGAAACATTACAGAAACTGAAAAATATACTATATACTGACTCAAATCAAATACCTTTGTAGAACACGAGGAGTTGAAAGAACTCTTTCAGGTGCATTCTGTAAAATAAAATACATAATATATTTATATATATATAGTTACATTTTGTTTGTATAATATACACTACGGTTCAAAAGTTTGTGGTTGGTAAGAATTATGTTTTGAAAGAAGTCTCTTTTGCCCATTAAAACTCCCATTTATTTGATCAAAAATACAGTAAAAACAGTAATATTGTGAAATATTAAAAACAATTTCTATTTTAATATATTTTGAAATATATGAAATTTATTCGTGTGATGGCAAAGCCGAATTTTTTTGCATCATTTCTCAAGTGTCACATGATCGTTCAGAAATCATTCTAATATGCTGATTTGGTGCTCAAGACATAAACATTTCTTATTATCATCAATGTTGACTAGGGCTGGGAATCGCTGGGTACTTCACGATACGATACGATATGCGATACATTGTTCACGATACCGATAATATCACGATATGGCGATACTGCGATAATCGACATATTATCAGTAATAACTCACAATATATCATGTTTTAAGAAATACAATTTTTTTTTTAATTAGGAAAATTAATCTCCATTTATTTTTTGGGATGAAACACAATAACAAAAACAACTTGTGTCTTATCAGTTGCAACAAAACAGTCACAGACACTATTTTAGTGTAACATTGCTGCAATCAGTAGTAATAAAAATGTTTACGCCGGGGTGTGTCGGCTTCGAGCCAGCACCAACCACGGCTTTCTCACAGAGCTCCGGGTGATGCCGCGTGAGGTGTCTGTACATGTGGTCGTGTTTACCGTTTTGCGGACTTTTGCAAAGCCAGACATCCCAAGTCTCCTGGAAGTTCCGGGAGTCTCCCGCATAATGATAGCGTCTCCCTGATGCCCGCAAATTAGTTCAAATCTCCCGGAATCTAGAGCGCGCATGCGAGACAGAACAGCCTACTGCACGCATAACATACATAGCACGGCAGAGAGGGAGAGAGCGAGAGACTTTGCGTGTGTGCCTCATGAAAGCTAGTCAAATCCAGTCAACTCGGATAATGAATAGAGCGTTTTATAACGGCTTTTAAAGGGGCATTATGCAGAAATCCCGTTTTTGTCAAACAGCGACCCCTAGAGTTACTGTGGAGTACTTGAATTTAATGTTACTGTCGTAAATACCACTCACTCAGAGCTTGACATGCCCTGTTACATAGTATACAATAGTACATTGTGTTTAATTTGTCGTTTAATGAGATATAATATATGTTGTTAGTGGTGAGAATTTTCACGTGATTAAATACATAGATCCGACAATTTTAATGGTCCAGAGGCAGAACTTTTGCCAAGTGTGTCAGAGGTTCTGGGTTCTAATCGGTAGTAGTATAGTTTATTTTCCTCATCAAAACCGATTGTTTATTAGTGGTTGTATTTCAAGCAGGGACATGTTTTTTGTGCATTAGATTTTGTGATTTCACCATAACAAAATATAGAGAGTCTCTCAGTCCCCGCAACGGATTGAGGCGCGCGTCACAACAGAACACTGTAACTTATCTGCACCACTGACCGCAGAGGCAACGAGCACTTTGGTCACTTGATTTAAAAAATAACACATTTCAGATCGCCTCTTATTTAACAAACGAATGAAATGAATGCTCTACTAGAGTTACCTGGAGATGTTTTATTTGTTTGTAATGGTAACGTTACATCCGTGCCGCGAGAAGTTTCAATGGGGACATAACACACCAGCAAATTATGCCTATGCTCGTGTCCGACTCCTCGCTCGGTCAGTCTGCCGTTTCCTCTTTCTCTGTTCCTCCGACAATGCTTTCCTAGCTTTCTGCATCTTATATGCCGGCTCAGCCATGACGATAGTGTGACAAACTCCATCCATCTATACCTTGTTCCTGTGTGTATGTGTGCAGTTGCCGTAAAGGAATATGTTACATCGCGAGAGCTGATATCACGCGATACTTCCTGACGCGGCCCGCCGCACCGAAGTTGCAAGTGAGATTTTTTCGCTCACAGGCACCAGGGGGGGTCGAGACGCCCACCATTCAACCCGAAAGAAGTTATATAACCATTTCAATAACTCTGAAGCTGTTCAGTTAAGCTAAAAAAGCTGCATAGTGTCCCTTTAAGATCGATACTTGGCAAGAGCGCATCGAGAATCGATCGCGGGAGTAAATATCGTGAGATATCGCCATATCGATATTTTGGCGCACCCCTAATGTTGACAGTTTGTTATTACAATCAAACGTTGACAATCAAACAGTTGTGCAGCTTAATATTTTTGTGAAAACGACAATGAATTATTTGATGAAAGATCAAAAGCATTTATTTTAAATAGATTTTTTTGTTACAATATAAGTCCTTACTGTCACTTTTGATCAATTTAATGTGGCCTTTCAGAATAAAAGTATTTTTTGTAACTAATTTTTATTTATTTAATTTCATTTAAAAGGTTACAATGCACAAAAGTACAAAAATTGTCTCCATATTGTTCATCCCCATTTAAGTTCAAAATCAAAAAGGCTTCAAGAAAACTAAAGAGAGCAGAAGACTCACCCCCTGCACCCAGGGATGCTTCAGGACCTGGGCGGCACTCAGCCGTAGAGTGGCATCTCGCACCAGCAGCCGCGAGATCAGATCTTTGGCACCGGCTGAGATTTGAGCCCAGACTCCATCCCCAAATTCATATTTTCCCTCCTGAATCCTCTCAAAAAGGTTGTTCTGAACAGGAGAGAACAACACTTCAAAGGTCTCTACATGGATAAAGTGAATTCTGTAGATATATTTGAATTGGCGTGTGCCTTACCTGGCAGGCACGACACGTCTCTCCTCGTTCCCAGCCGCAGTTGGTGCCGCAGTGGCCAGTGAAGGGGGGGCTCCCGCTAAGCAGGATGTAGAGAATGACCCCAAGGCTCCAGAGGTCACAGCGTTTATCATAGAAAGAAGCCTCATCCGTAAAGACCTCAACCACCTCAGGAGCCATGTACTCTGCTGAGCCACACTAAAGCAGAGAACGCACCTCTCAAACAGTGCTACTCGACACGATAGCGCTACTATTACACAGTTCTAGCGTGCTAAAAGCATTGAGAACAAATCTGAGGTTGTGTTTACTGGTGTGGTGAGCTCAGGGGTGGTTATTGGGGTACAGGCACTGTTCAGCTTTACTCCACTCCCAAGGTCAAAATCACAAATCTTCACAGGAGAAACCTGAATGAAAGCAACAAACTCATTACAATTAAGACTGGCAAGATTTTAAACATACATGTGCTACCGATCAAAAGTTTGGGGGTGAGTGAGTGAGTTTTTTTTAATTAATACTTTATTTAGCAGCTAGGGATGCATTAAATTGATCAAATATTACAATAAAGACATTTATAATGTTACAAAAGTTTTCCATTTAAAATAAATGTTCTAAAATCCTTAAAGCAGCAAACACTGTTTTCAACATTGATACTAATAATAAATGTTTCTTGAGCACCAAATCAGCATATTAGAATGATTTCTGAAGGATCATGTGACACTGAAGACTGGAGGAATGATGCTGAAAATTCAGCTTTGATCACAGGAATTAATTACAAATATATACACTACCGTTCAAAAGTTTGGGGTCAGTGAGAATTTTATTTTTTGGAGGAAAGAAATCAATACTTTTATTTATCAAGGAATAATTAATTTGATCGAAAGTGACAGTAAAGACATTTATAATGTTACAAAAGTCTTTTGAACTTCCTATTCATCAAAGAATCCAAAAAACAACAAAAAAAAAAACTGTACAACTGACAGACCAACAACTGTTTCAACATTGATAATAATAATAAATGTTTCTTGAGCATCAAATCCTCATATTATACTGATTTGTGAAGGATCATTTGACACTGAAGACACTGACACTGGTGATGCTGAAAATTCAGCTTTGATCACAGGAATAAATTACACTTTACTATATATTCACACAGAAAACAGCTGATTTACACTGGAATAATATTTAATACTATAACTGATTTTTGTTGTATTTTTAATCAAATAAGCGCAGCCATGGTTAGCAGAAGAGAATTCTTTTAAAAGTATTTAAAATCGTACCGAGCCCAAACTTTTGAACGGTAGTGTATATTCAAATAGTTAGAGTTCATTTAAAATTGTAATACTGTTCCACAATATTACGGTTTACACTGTATTTTTGATCAAATAAATGCAGACTTGGTGAACGAAAGAGACTTTTCATTTTGTAGTTCTTGCAGACCAGTCTTTTTTTCCTATGTGTATTCAGTAAATGCTACAGCTTATACATGATTAATTTGGTTAATTTTGCATGAGGTACAGATATTCCCTTACCGTTTTTGACATATGCATATATGTACTGTATGTAAATCAATACTTAATGTATGTATTGAACGCAGACTACTTTTATTGCTGCTCAATATATGATCCTTTTGACAGAGAGATTAGGGGAGGAGGACAAAGTAAATGTTTCTAGAGAATGTTAAGTGCTTATTAAGATTGTAAGAGGACAAACTGAAGGTTTCAGGCAGATCTCTGTTTATCAGTCAAAATCTGCATGACCTCTGTTGAACAGTTTATCCGAGACACTCAAATGCAAGGCCGTAGATAACTACTGAGCACAGGCCCACTCTTTCCATCATACTCTTGGTAGAAGACTCAGATATATTGTTCCTTTTCTCTCTTTTCTGTCTCATATTTCAAGTTTAATCTACAAATGCTGTGAGAACTTGTGAATATTGCTTCTTTCTGTAGTCAAGGTCGGTAGGCCTGGGGAGAGTCTTGAGAGTCAGATAAAGTGTTTCCAATTAAACATTATTTACGCATATGAGATAACCATATTATGGGATGATGAGGAAGAACAATTTGGATCATGAATATGAGCCGGAAAGCCTTATGATAATCTATTCATTTATCTAATTAACTTTGCAAGTCTTTGTTCTATGATAGATGAAAATTTATGATTTAACTGAATAAAATATAAAGAAAATGTGTGGCTCTCTGAGGTATGTTTCGCTTGTAAGAGAGACTACCCTGGATCGCGATTTCAGACAAATACATTTCAAATACATTCGAATTTTACCATTGAGAGGCCTGACTTTAATTTTACTGTTGAATTTGCACATCTCTCAGGATTCTCCAAACCCTAACCCTAACATAGCCCTGCAGACAACACAAGAGGACTTGTCACACTGCACCTAACCTCGGGTCATCGTCGATCGAAACCCTGCCTATAACCCCGGGTAAAGGAATGTTTCACACTTCTAATTTAGAAGAAAAAATGAGCTCAATGTTAAAAATGACCGGAGTTCTCCTTTAATATTCGAATATTAAATAAAACAAGGAATGGAATTCGAATAGTATTATAGAGGAAGATTGACAGCCCTAGTGTGAAGAGTCATCTTATCAATAACCAGAATTAATCGTAAACCCTGGGAAAATTTCGAGCAGTGAGAAACGTGAAGCAAGATAACCCAGGATTTGGTTTACCCGGGGTTTAGAAGACAAAATGGATGCATTACCTTATCAGTATATTCACACAGGATATTTTCAGGCTTAAGGTCCCGGTGAGCAATTCCTGTGGAAAAACAGAAACAAGTCTGAAGTAAACCGATTCGCACGAGTCATGGTCAGTGGGCCCTTTTCATAGTTCCTAGAACTATTGGCGAAAGTACTGGGATGTCGGCGTGTTCGCACCGCAGGAACTAGGAATGATTCTAGTTCTAGGAACTCTTTTGGAGGAACTAATTTAGCTCCTACTTCAGAGTAGGGTCTAAACCAGCGCTATAGGAACTATCCGTGACGTTAGTGTACACGGATTGGCCGAAAGCACGCGAAATAGCACCCGCCATTTTTAAAACAGCTATATGTAAACACACAGATTATAGCCTCTACATTTACTCTAGAAACTAACTATACGAACATAGAAAACAGTGATAGATGGAACTCTTAACCTTTACGCTGAGGAGAAAATCCAACGCAACTTTGAGGCGACCAAGCCGAACATGATTATGTGTTTCTGCTCAGCTAGCAACACTGGACATCAACCACACAGTACACGCTAATAACTTTTCATATACTCTCTACTTTCCATGTATAACAGTTCTATCTAATAACGTATTAGACAAGACTGTTAGACAGATCGTAAACTATAATGAACACAGAGAATGCAAGCACTGTTTGTTTGCTCAGGCTCTGGCATTCTGACTCTGAGCGCCGTCAAAGTAAAGGTCCGCCACGCCGCCAAAATAAGTCACAACAACGGGCGCGGTTTACGTCCCTTCAGAGTTCCTACTGGCGGTGCGAATGCAACAGGAAAACGTTCCTATGGAACCATTAGTTCCTATAACTATCCGGTGCGAAAGCTCCTATTATTTACCTTTGTTGTGCAGAAAGTCCAGTGCATGTACTATATCCCTGACCACATGACTAGCCTCTCTCTCATCAAAGTATTTTCGTCTCTGGATGTGTGTTAAAATGGAACCTGAGAGGAAAAGAGAAAAATAATCAGAAGAAAAAAAAAACTAACTGAGAATGAGACTGCATTTGTATTTCACTACAATATACCTCCACGTAACTTCTCAAACACCAGATAAAAACAGCTGTCCTCTTCAAAAAACTGAATGAGCTCCAGAATGTTCCTGTAAAGAACACACAATAGATGCAGTTGTGCAATTATGTATACTAACTACAATCAAGTATTTATACAGTAATTTTTATATAAAGTACAGTATTTTCTTTTAAGTATAATGACTATCCACTTGTTAGGTCTGACACCACTGTTTCCGGGTAAAAAAAAAACGCTTCAGATTCCAAAAGCAAACACAAAACGTGCTAATATACACTCAAGGCATGTTGTAATACTACGGGAAACCGGAGTGGAGAATTGGACACGGATACAGAATTCGATACGTCAAGAATTAACAAGCGGATAGTGGAGTATGATCTTACTTATTTCCTTGACACTGGTAAAGCGTCTCCACCTCTCTGAAAACTCGGCTGCGACTGTGACCAGCTTTCTTCTCAATTATCTAAGAAACATAACCACACAAGGTTTATTATGTTTGTTTTGACAACGAACTAATGCAATATTTATCTAAAAAAAAAAATCCTCTCACCTTCACAGCATACTCATTGCCATTCTGTAAACACACACAGCCCTGGACTTTAGCATAAGCCCCCTGACCCAGCAGCTCATCCGTCAGCCTGTACAGATCTACAACACACACACATCTGAGTTGACTCATACCTTACCCAATCAGGAAATGTAGTCAGGAAATGCAATCAAACATCCTGAAATAATGATGATGCATGATAACAATTTATGAATATTAAATAATACTGAGAGTAAACCAAATAACCAGGAACACAATATGAGGAGTAATAATTTTTTTTGTAATGTCCTTATTGCAATGATGGCATAATACCGCTAAATTTGCCTGTGAAACTGTCCGCTGCCCGAGTTCTGCGTTTCTTCTTCCGGCGTGTAGCCGCGTCTGTGATGTTGATTGGCTGACTGCTCTCCATTCCTAATCCTAAAGTAAAAAACACAAAACCGCAGATGTTATATGACAGATCTTGGGTACTCTGTTAGAATTTTCTTTTTGAAATGATTTCAAGATTTGAAGGATATATTTTTAAATGTTATGCCTTAAGCAGCTGTACCTGTGGAGGTTTGGGAGGCACTGTTGGGGGCATGAGAAAGCAGGCCACGGTTCTCCACTTGGCCAGATGCCAGAGTGCTACTGGTTATCTGAGAGAAAGAAAGAGAGAGAAATTTAAGCTTAAAACAAAGTGATAGTACACAACAGCAATGTTCCAGTGCTTCTAGAGACATATAAAGTGCATTTCACACACCTTTTCATTATTAAAAATTCAATAATCCATATTCACATTTCAGATTTCACTTCCAAAATATTCATTCCGTTTAAAAAATACAACCTATAAATCTTCGATGTGCAATTTTCGGTCCATTTATTTTGCTTTACAAATTCGCTTCCACAAATTCAGTGGTTCAAATCCGACAGAAAATGTAACATTTCACATCCGGGAACTGCAGGAATAGCAGTAGAGTGCCGACGCATAATCTCCATCTGCTGTTAGTCGACCTCACCAGAAGGTCCGGAAGTAAAAATCCCATTCATTTTCTCTATAGCGGAATTCATTTTGAATGATAACAGACCTACTGTGAGCTACGCGGCGACTAATCAATGGTATATGCTTTTGTTGAAGCCATTAGTCTGCATTATTTATCCACATACAGTGGAATCCGGCAAATAAATATCCACCAATCAGAGAATGACAACAAGCAAATCATGCCAAAAATTAACTCTTTAGCACCTATCCAATCCAATGAAGCACTACGATTGACGTAATTGAGTCAGTCTCTCTACACTCTCAAACTACTTACATTTTTGCGTGCATAATATGCATATTTTGCAAAAAACATAAAATTTATTGTTTTTATTTGATTATGTTGTTTGCAATGGTTCATGGGACTGTAGTTATTACCCTGCTGTTAGTAAACATGTCTATTTTTAAATATTTTTTTTGCCTTGGTTTAGTTTAGTTGGAGTGAACAACAGCCAGAGATTGTCATTGACAAACATGCATGACAATGCATGCGACTATCTTCTTTTTTGCTCCTCCACGAATATTTAATGTGTATGACTAAATTATCATCATATTTTAAAGTCAGCATGAAACAGAATTACTTTCTTCTCTATTGTGACGTATATCCAAGTAAACCGGCTTCTCAAACAGGAAATAATTTAGGGCGGGCTTGATTTTGTCCATAGAGAATTGATTGAATCATTTGATTGTGGTTTGGTGTCATTGCAAGAGGAAGTGGGAAGTTATTTTGATTAAGGATTACGAGGGCACATGTTTTTTTTATTATTATGATGTAAACGGATAAATCATAATAAATACTGCAATATTCCAAAAAAAGAAAAGAATTCTTCATTTTTATTTCATGGTGACTTTAAGTTCACTATGATGTCCTGTAAACATGAACTTCTATCATAGAAAGAGGAAGTGAACCCAAGCTCTAAAACTTGCAGTGTGCTCTTATCAGATTTCTCACTCTGAACAAGCCTCGCATGACTAATGCGTTTCTAAACATCTCCACTACGAAATACATGTGCAAGCTCTGCTTTACAGTTTGAGACTCACAAATAAGTCAAAAACGCCGTTTTAAGGCAAGTCGCGATACTTGTCAGTACCTGACGGGAGCAGTGGTGCGCCTGAAGGTCCACGAACTGAAAGAAAAAACAGACACGATCATTCCAGAAGCCGCGCGAGACGGAGCCGTGACAGCGCTCGCGCCGCAGGGAAAACTCGTGACGTCAGCTGTGCAGCGTCACCTGAGTGCCACCTACGTTTTTCTTCAAAGTAGGTTGAGTGAAATCATGTCAAAGATATTAGTGTCGTGACATTTGGTCAAGTTCTTATCATCTGGCTGCTGAGTGGGGAATCCAGCAAACTTAACATGATATATTAATTGTATTACTTAAATACAGAGAAATAATGAGAATAAAGTAGGATTAAATGATATAGCATATATACGAAATTATATTAAATAACGTTGATTGGGTAATAGGTGGGAATATTTATGATTAGAGTAGCCGCGGGCTGGACACATTAGCATATTTAAAGCAACAGTAGCTGCTAGTCAATGCTAAATGACCGTTCCTTCAAAAATTCTAGCAATCCCTTATGACTTCCTTCTGTAATGTATTGCAAAATAGTAGGCAGAACGATAACATTGATCACCATTCACTTTCATTGTTTGGAAAAGAGATGCAATGAAAGGGAGAAATCTGAGGTTATCAGTTTGTGTGAACATGAGGGTGAATAAATGACAGAATTCGTTTTTTGAGTGAACTATCCCTTTAAGAGAAGAACATGAACTAAAATGAGTGTCGAAAAAAAGCAACAAGTGTCAGACTGAGAACTGAAATATTGTAGCAATGTCACCAGAATTGTGACAGTGCTAAGTTAACCGAAGAAATATTCTTTTTGAGTAACTGAAAACCAGTTTTAATACATATAACTCGCACTAACAGAATTAAGTAACGTTACAAACGTTTGTTTTTGCGACCTGGCGCGAACCGAGCGACCCAATCGATGAAGAAGCCACTTTATCACATGACACACAGGTTACATCAGCGAGCTGGAGATATACTTGACCTCATGTAAAACACTATTTATATACATATATTATTTATATTAAAAAAAGATTCAAACCTGAAAATTGCGGCCGAATGAGTCTAACGTTAGCTGTTCAGTGAGTGCGTCCGCCATCCCCGCTAAACAGCAGCAGTGAGTAAGGAAGAGGTGGTGGAGGAGAAGGACAACACAGAAACCACAACAGCACCTCCCCAATCGCGCCAAACTGCCCTCCTACTGATGGTCACTGAGACTGCGGTGCATTTGCGAATCACATGGTGACGGGTTGGGTCATGAATATTAATCAGGGTGCGTGACTGGACGAACGAGGGAGATTACGAGGTGACGCAAGCATAATGAATATTTACATGCGAAGACGTTGCTACCACCAGAGGGCTACCACGAGTCTGATTTATGGTTGGTCAAATTAAATAATTAGACTCATACAGTGAAGTGAATAAAACTCTTTTAATGTAAATACTGACTACCGTGTCCGTAGGAGAGAGTCCCCATAAAGGAGTTATATAATTGGATGACATGGTGGCTTTATTTAATCTGAATTATCTTGCCGTGAATGTTTCCCACTCGGGCGTTTGTCAGCCGTTCATTTCCTTTTTACAGTGTTAATTTAGAAATAATTCAGGGCCCGTATTCCTAAAGAATCTTAATGTAAAAAGTAGCTCCTAGTGACAAAATTCTAAGAAAATTTTTAGAAATGTGGGCGTTTACTCTTAAAATTAAAGAAAAAATCCTAGTAAAGAAAAAAGTAATTCAGAAAGCATCTTAACCCTTAAAAGAGGTCTTAAGGTCAAAATTGTTAGGAGTATGGATGAGGACTTTTAAGAGGCTTAAGAGTTTCTTTAGCAGAGGAGAAAATGACAGAACGATGAAGAGGGAGAAGAAATGTGATGCAGACAATATATGACGACAGTTAATAAGACGCTATAGATGAGATTGTGCAGTGATCATGTTTGTGACTGATCTTATTAGAGACACGCTAATATCTCCGACACAGCGCAGGAATGCCATAACGCCAGAAATGATCACTACATTAAGATATTTGGCAAATGGGAAAATGCAATAAAGCAATAGTGATTTGGGTCTGTGACAACCTTCTGTAAGCAGTGATCACACAAACATTACAGCACTTTCAGAACCTCTTATTGTGTCGCTGCCGCAGTTCATTTAGTTTCCACTGGACATTCCCACCTTGCAGGCTCAAAAAACTGTATTTATGAATATAGCAGGCTTCCCTGGTGCGCACAAGCAGGGGAATGAACCGTTAATAATGTGCGCTATAAGCTCCCACGTCCGCTTCTCGCTCCATGCTGTGACACCCTGCCCGGATTTTCCTTTAAGGACGGCCTAGTGTTCATCCACTAACTCGGCTAACAGTAAACACGGTTCTTCTGACCAGTCAGGCTTTCTCGTCTTTCTTGTTTTTTAATCCATGTTTTCAAAACAAACATTCAAACCACCACTTAAATAGACAGCAATCAGTGTAATTGGAAAGAGTGGAACAATTTTTATCATTCTAAGCCAATCAAATTAACAGCAAGGTAAAAAAAAGGATTTATATACATAAAAATAATGTGCGTGTGTGTGTGTGCATGTGTGAGTAAACTCTATACTTAAAATGGCTCTTTTTTTTCCTTCTTGGACAACCAACCAATCACAGTCTTCAAAAGATTGTGTCATACATAGCAACGGGGTCAGCCCCGCCTCCTCACTAAGATGAGAGTTTTTGTCTTTTCCTTACTCAGAGTTGCTCTCAGATCGGTCCCGAATCACTCTTAAGCTAAGACTCCTACGTAAAAGTTTTTAAGCTAAATTAAGAGTTTTCTAAAAGGATTCTTAGATTCTTTAGGAATACGGGCCCAGTTCTTTTTAATCCTAAACCTCCATAAATCTGAGTTGCCACAGGCTAATCAGCAGTGAAATAGCCGATGCCTGGAGAATTCATGGAAATTATGAATATCTTATTATTAATTCCTAAAATGTTATAACTTATAGCCTACGGAATATACATTTTTCTGGTGTTTTTCAAAACATCAGAGCGTTTGCTCTTGTATAAAGTATATTGCTTGCAAGCAATAGTGAATTGTCCTTTTCGGTTCTTTTTGATGAATCGGTCAAACCTTACTCGTAAAAGTGGACTTGGCTATTTTCATATTTCAACCAGTCTATAATTGTATGGATATTGTGATGAGGATGATATATGTGAGAATAAGCAGTATACTAAAGCTTAAGTATAAGGAATGTCTGAAAGTGATATTTCATTGTTTTGAGAAACTTTCGAGTAAACTAGTTTCCCAACTAGTTTAAAAAAGAAAAAGAAGAGAGTAATTTAAAATGTTTGTATTTTAAACTTGCATGCAAAAATACAAAAGCAAAAACAGCACATTTTCAGAACAAAATGTCCTGAAATAAGAACAATACTGGACATTTATTTTACTGCACATGCCCTGGTTAAATAAAAATACTAGCAAAGGCTTCCGCCCCTGCACACTGGCACATACTCGACAGAGCAATGTAACATCTCAAACTCAACAGAAGTCTAAGACATGCCATTTCAAGACAAGTTTCCCTCAGGGACAAATATTTTTAAAGTATCGTTGAAGTCACATTGCGAAATGCTCAAAACTGTATGCAGAATACTAAGCAATCAATGCATCATTTCATATCAATACTGCACAATCTGAGATATATAATTTAAACATTTACTGTCTCTAGAACATGTATTGAATTGCTGGACCCATAGTATTTCAGAAATATTGAAGCATTGTGAGTCTCAGATCTCGCCTGATCTTAGATCAGACCTCAAGTACATTATTATTTTGGCCTGAATGATTGAAGTTGTTTGTGCTTTTGGATGCACATCCATTCTCCACATCTTTCAATGGCAGATCCTCTCTGTCATTTCTTTCTGTAAAGACAGAAAAACACACAATTATCAGGACAAACATATACCACATTTGCAATGTGCTGTCAGCATGCAGTTGTTCATAAAACTCACAAGTTAGCTAAAGATGAGTGCATTTTGCTTTAAAAAACTAATTGTCACCAGTGTTGGGATTTTTTTTTTCTTTTTTAAGTAATACGTAAATATTGTGTTACTCCCTAAAAAAAAAGTAACTAATTGTGTTAATTACTTTTCATGGAAAGTAATGTGTTATGTTACTTTTGTGTTACTTTTCTTACCTGGGCTGGGCTTGTTTATTTCTTCATAACAAAAACAAAAGTTCTTTTTTTTTTTTGCAAATGTAAAAAACCATAAGTGAAATGAATAAGCCTCAGGGTGAAGGAAATGCAAAATCACAACTGTACAGTAGAGGTCGCAGCTCAAACTTTTCAGCTGTGCTGCCATTCTGGATCACAGAATGATGCAAGAGAAGAAGAAGAAGAAAAAAAGGAACACAAACGTGATGTTTAATTTTTTACCTAGTACGGTTTAATTGGATCATTAAAGGTCAGCAGCAAAGACATTGGTTAATAAAGTGAGACTAAATACTAATTAGTGTAATTTAACAGAATTATTGTAGGTTTGCATAATTTTCTGAGTTTGCATTTCACTGTTTTTATTCATTTTGAGGAATACTGGATGTGTTTTTGTCCAAGTGAGATGAGTAAATGCCTGCTCACATTTAGTCTAGAACTACAATAACCATCATGTTTACACATCTGCACTTGTAGTAACTTGTGTTTCTTATTTGAACAAGTAACTGCATTTGAGAAAGTAACTGCATTACTCGTTACTTGAAAAAAAGTGATCTGATTACATAACTCGTGTAACTTGTATGCGTTACCCCCAACACTGATTGCCACTACCATCATTTATTATTTTGTGTATAATAATATTAATTATTACTACATTGAGAGTCAGTTCATAACAATCATGCCCCTCTGCTCTATTACAGTAATGAAAGCGCAGCTCTCTCACCAGTGGCTCCAGCTCCGAGTGGTCGATAAGGCTGAACTCAGAGATGAAGAAATAGTAGTGTTTGTAGCAGGTGTTGATGTGAGCCTCAGCCCCCATGCTACAGATCATGTCAAAGTGATGGATGTACACATGTACAAACACCCGAAACAACCGACTCAGAATCTTTTTGCACACCTGCTGAAAGTTCTTTGGAAAAGGGACTCCTAAAAACAGAAGAAAACCAGTGTCACCCTTATCACATCGCATTGTATCATAAACACATCTCAAGATGGTAGACTTGTGCTGTATGATTTTCTTCCATGAGAAAATTCAAATGGTATTTAAGGAGAAAAAGCCTACTGAGTATTTCTCAAGGGTTTTAGCAAATAGTTCAGCCTGTGGAATTATGAATTGTTGGCAGTTCTTGTAGCTTCTGTAACTCTATCCAGATTATTATTATTTTTTTCCAGACAGAGGTATGTGTCTAGTGTTCCCTGGCCCCACAAATCACACAGGAATTCCTGAGAAACTTAACTGGATAATTTCTCAACCCAGTTATTCATTAATATTTCTGCTAAATATTTTTGTCCTATTTCTTTTCATTTGCATACTAATTTATGCTAAGGTTTTCAAAGAACAATAAAAAGGTCACAAATGCAGGAGTCTGAAAAGATAGGAAAACCTCGTAAAACACAGTTTAAAACACAAAGAAATGTACTCTTTGTATTCATGTTGGTTTAATATTTTGAAACGTTTTATGACTCTAAAAATGTGTTGTGACCATAAGAAGTAATAACATATTTTCCTTATACTGTGAATACATGTGATAAATATATTTTAGGGTATTTTTATAATAAAAAAACATAAAAATATCATTATGTTTGATCATTAAAAAGGTTTTTAAACATTTTAAGGGACATTTTATTCTGATACAGTCAACAGGTGTCTGCTTTATGATATAATTTCCCGTTTTATGTTTTTTTTCTGAAAATGTTTGCATGTTGGTTGCACTATGACTCAAAGGTTTTTCAAATATATTAATTGGCAGTGAAGCGGTTTTGTTAAAAACATTCTTTCTAATAAATAATAATAATAACTACATAAGCTTTTCTTTTTCTCAATAAGGTTTTCTTTTCAAGAATTTCAAGTTTAAATGGCATGTTTCCTCATTATGATATCAGGACAGTTATGCACCCTGATATTTTTTTGTACTTTATGCCCCCCTAAGAAATATATCAAATTATTAATTTAGCAATTAACAAAAAAAAAAAAAAAAAAATTAGCATCACGTCATTGACAGACTGCACTAGTAGCCCTATCACAGCAATGAAGATGTCAGGAAAACACATTTGACATCACAGACCTACTCGTGTAGGAAAGATGTCCTCATTATTGATGAGTGACTCGATCCAGTTCATCAGGAGGTTCATGTAAATAAGAGCAGGCAGTTTGGTGGGTCTCTTGTATTGATCCCCATCCTGCCACCTGTATTCATAACGTGGCCCTCCAGACATGATGGGACAGCTCTTCTCAGTGCAGAACTCGCTCACAGTCCCGTAGATGAGGTTGATTCGATTAAAGAAATCCACCACGTGCACAGCTATCCAGTCATTAATGTTCTCCCCATCCGGCAGCTGCACCACTTTCCTCAGGTCAAGGCCTGATTTCAGAGACGCTTGGGCTCTTTTGTACAGCTCAAAACGCTGGGTCCCAGGTTCAAAACGCTTTCGAGGCCGGAATGTTTTGTCTTTGCTGAAAACCTGACCCAGGCACAGAGCCATTGCTGAACTGAGCAGGGTGATGGAGGAGTCGGATCCAGTCAGGATCCGGACAGTTGTGAATGTTGACTCTTATGATTCCCTGGGCCCTCGTCCCATCCGATAAGGAAGTTTCTAGAAAGAAGAAGAAAGTAAAGCAATGCCTCTCTTATATATTTACAGCTCTGGAAAAAATGAAGAGGCCACTGCAAAATTGGCAGTTTCTCTGGATTTATTATGTATACGCATAATTATCTGTTTGAGTAAAATTAACATTTTTGATTTATTCTACAAACTACTGACAACATTTGTCATTTAGAGCATTTATTTGCACAAAATGCAGAAACTGGTCAAAATTACAAAAAAAGATGCCATGTTTTCAGACCGTGAATCATGCAAAGAAAACAAGTTTATATTCATTTTTAAACAACACAATACTAATGTTTTTATTTAGGAAGAGTTCAGAAATCAAAATTTGGTGATTTCCAATCACAGCTTTCACGCGTCTTGGCATGCTCCCTATCAGTCGGTCACATTGTTGTAGGTCGAATTTATGCCACTCCTGGCGAATATATTATATTTCTATTATTATATCATATATTTCTGTAATATATTTTTAGATATTAATATATATATAAAGTGTAAAAGATATACCAAGTTCTGGCATGAAACTCTAGATGGCGCAGGCTGATAGGTCCTTAACTCATTTGGTAACGAATCTAGCGATTGCATCGTCATCTACATTAGCGCAGCTGATTGGTTGCTCTTGCATCAGCGGCCAATGAGCTGCATTCAAACAAATACCTTTAGTGTTGCTGTTAGCAGTCTGCAGCGCGCTTTCAGAAACCCTCCACCTTCCCCAGCTCCACCTGTATAGATCTGCTAATGATGTTTTATTAACAAAGTTCGGGAGAAGCACGTTCAGATAATTAACACGGGTGGAGAGCACTCAGCAATCATGATTAAAACGTATATAGACTCAGCAGTCTCACCTCATTTCTCTGACGGTTTAGCAGCGTCCCTCCACCACCCCTTCTCCACTCTTCTAGTCCTAAACCCCTTTACATACGGGGGGGAGTACTCTGGGTTCGGGCCGAATTCCGAGCTCGGAGCCCTCCCCCCGGACAGCACGCCAAATACGCATTATACTTTATTCCCTTTAATTGTATGTAAGTGTGAACTCGTGAATGGGTAATTCATGCTACAGTATATTATACAGCAGCAGCGTGTTGTATTGGCATTAGTAAGTCTCGGTATGCTCTGCAGCAGCAGCATAGCAGATCTATTCCGCCAAGACCAAATACATTAACATTGTTATGACCAAATACATCACCATGCCAATCTCTCCGAGAGTTGTCATGACAGAACAGCATTTATTTGAAATAGACATCTTTTATAACATTATAAAAGCCTTTACTGTCACTTTTGATCAATTTATTGAATCCTTGCTGAACAAAAGTATTAATTTCTTTAATAAGAACCCGATGTGACGTGGGTGTCACAAACACTAATGATCATTGGAAAAGGTTTTTTTAAACGATTATACCTCACTTTCAACCCAGGAAGTCCCTAAGGGACATATAAGGAACATCCAGGTTCAGTCATGTGACAATGTGTGCATTTTTGTTGCCATGGTAACATTTCCAAAATGGTGGTCTGTCTTGTGTGCACATGTTGCAGTGTCAGCACTTTTTAAAGATGCTTATTTTTGTTACTAAAGGTATGTTTCAACCCATGCAACAATTCTAATGTTTTAATAACATATCCTAGATTACACTTGACTTGATTTTAAAACGTTTCTTGTACAAATTGATATAAAACAAGTTTTGCAAATGTTGTTGTGACATATGTGTCACATCGGGCTTTTAACAGTAAAACAGTAGGTGGAATTTTGATGTGACGTATGTGTCACATTAAGAAAAATGCTAATGAACTGCTCAAATAATTTAGCTGATTCAATTATTTTAGTATTATATATATTCTGCTGCTCAATTCAAAGCATATTTTAAACAAAAAAATGTCAAATTAATAACATTGTTAAAGGGTAACTAAGCCCCTGATCAGAGCCTGACTCCACCCACTGGCAATATTTGAAAAATGCTGTAAAAGTGGGCAGAGCCCAGCGGACGGAGGGGCGTGCACCTGAGACGCATCTCTCTGTAGGCATGGGTGTGGTTAGCTGGTGCCTGCTTACCTCACAGGGCACCACAAATTGAAAATTCAACTGCAGTAGCCACCGTTCAACCTGAAGAGGACAGCACTCAGATGTTTTTACACCATATATTGTAGAATTAAAACACTTTATACCCAAATGTCTAAAAAATGACTTGAATCAATGAACAGCAATAATAAAGCCCCAGTCTTACAGATCATTAACTAAAGAAAGTTGGTTTAGGGTTTACCCTTTTATGAAATGTATTTTGAAAATATGTTGCATACCTGTAACTAAAACAGCTATGCAACATATGGTACAAAACACCATATTTATTGTTATTCAGTTTGCACATTTTCGCGTTGTGAAAAAATAATCAAAAAATGTATTTCTGGTTAAACCGTATACCTGAAAAGGTAGAATTTTGCAATGTTATTGCACTACATGCATGTTCAACATGTTGACCTCCGGTGTGAGGTAGTTATTTATTTTTATTCATTTTGCACATTTTCGAGTTGTGAAAAAATAATCTAAAAATGTATTTATGATTAAACCGTATAACTGAGAAGGTTAACTTTTGAAGTTACAAAACAGTTGTTGTAAAATGTAATGGTCACAGTTGTGTGGTTTTGAAATATGTGGCAAAGCAAATAAAATGCAAAAACTATTACTTCTGAAAAAAAATTTTTTTATTTATCTTCACAGAAAAGTAATAATTTAGAAAATGTTGTGGAAAAGAAAATAAACAGAAAAAAAATGTTATTTAGCAAGAAAACTGACCAAATTATTTTTTTTCCAAATGCATCATAAAAGCCCAATGTGACATATATGTCACATTAAAAATGCACCATAAACGCCCAATGTGACATATATGTCACATTACAGATCTTTGACAAGGAGTGGTTGTTTTTAAAAAACAACGGCAGAAACATGTTTTAAGTGGTCCAATTAGTCTGTTTTATATGCCCCATAATTTTCCTATAAGGGGAAATTGGTCCGGGTTCTTATGGGTTAAAAAAACGTACTGACCCCAAACTTTAGAATGGTAGACTAATGCATATAAACTCCATATAGACCACTACAAGCAAACAATTCATTTAATTCTCTCTATGCATTAAGTTTCCATTTGCGTTGTTTTATCCACATCACCATTTTCATAACTTCCTGTGTTTGTTCGAACTGGCTGAAATGAGATGCGTTTTGGAGGGACTCTTCAGCCGTACAATCAAACCCTGCCTCTCTGTTTTCATTTAACGTCCTGGCTTCTTTGTCTATTTTGTGATAAGTCTTGTTTTTCTTTCCCTCTCTCTTTCTCTCTCCTCCCATAAATGTATTCACAGAAAGCCTGGTTACTAGATAAACTGTTAAAGTTTCTCTTACACCTCTCATAGCCCATGTTGAGATATATTTTGCAGGAACATTTTTCTCATAAGTGTGCTTCTGGCATTTGTTTCTGTAACTGATAATGCATATCACAGTATTTTCACACAATTAAAAGGCACTTATGGCACCTACTTGAAATACTCTCTTCTATATATTTTTCAATTCTATAAAGCAGACATATCCCCGTTTCTAACCAACGTGTTAAATATCCTTTCACTTTCTCAAGTAAAGAAAAGACTTTATAATAGACACAAAAGTACTCAGTTGTAGAGGTTGGACTGAACTCAAATCATTCAATATGGAACCAAAGGACAGAGGACTTATTTGTCCACCCCTCCAACAATCACGCCAAACACTGACGTGTCTGATCACGCTTTCTCTGAGCCCCCACGGCACATGAGCTCTGACATTACTACATTAACACAGATCATGAAAGCATCTTATTAATGAAAAGAAGTAGAGATTTGAAGGTCCCTACCTAAAGAATTTGGCTTTAGTCCCGCTGTAGACACTTGGAATGTTGTGGGAAACTTGAAAAGAATTCCTCTGGCTCCTGTTCTTTCCAAGAGGGAACAGTTAAAATCCAAATTGTCTTGTGAGGATTCTTTCCCTTTCCCACTCATCAGCCGGTCTTATCCCTCCAAAACCCAGTTAAGAATACAGTATAGAGTAAAAACAACAAGCTGAAAAGTTACTTGGCTTCCCTTCCTGTGTATGATGTCATATCCTGATTTTGTCTGGTAGGCCCTGTTGTCTGTTTTTGTGTGCCAGTGTGTGTGTGTGTGCATGTCATGTGTGCTGCTCAGGGGCAGTGTGAAGTTAAAAGGAGAGATTTCATTGGTGGTGGGAGGAGCATCAGTCTGTGAAGTCCAGTCCCACATCAAGCCACATCCTTTGCCCTGCCCAGCACCACACCCCCCAAACCCCATTGTGCTTGAAGCTTCACACAAGAGGACTGTAACTTCACCCTTTCTCAGACCATCTCATCTAAATAGAACATTTGGATCACATTTTTTCACTAACTTAATATATTTTATATATATATATATATATATAAAAAAACTCAATGTAAGTTTAATATTACATTTGTTCATAATAGTTTTTTTTAATTTGTCTAAAAGTTTAGAATTCCAAATTTAAGACGCCAAGTTTGTTGCAGATAATTAGGTTTTATCTTTAAATTGTAGTTAATGTAATCTATTAGGTTGTAGGTAATGTAATCTGACTACTACTTTTGACCTAACTTTGACCTTTGACCTTTTTTAAAAATATATATTTTTCAAAAAAAAAAAAACTTTTATAAAAGAAAATTAAAAAAGATAAAAACAACAATTAGGGAGAAACAATGAATTCTCAATAATTGATTGCCATTTTGTGAATACTGAGTAATCCTGTCATCAATAAAAAGTAACTGTCTGATTATGATATATTTTAAAACATAATATGATCTAATTACAAGAATTTAATGTTTGAAATCTGATTAGTAATCCAGATTACATATAATCAGTTACTATCAGAACTAATAAACACTCTGAGCACAATTGTGAAGTAATGTAATTACTATTAGTGACCACTAGATGGAAATAAATATTTTACAAATTATTAAGTGGCACAATCATTGACGTTGGGTTTAAATTCTTTTAAAGTATAAAGTAAAAAAACAACAACATAAGCATATATTAAGAAAGATTAGAACGGCTTTTTTAAAAACTTGGAGTAGGCTACCTTTATCTCTTGAGTAATGAAGATAATTGGTATATGATTGATGAAAAATTAATCGAAATTTACATTAAAAAAAGTTTGTGTTTTTGTTTAGGCCAATATGAGAGTAGATGTTTAATTGTTTTGTAAAAAAATAAATAAAGTACAATGTTTTCACATTTACTGAGGCATAGAATTTGTCTCATGCTTATGAGCAAATTATATTTCTACAATTTTCTGAATTTCTTCAACAGTATTGTTTGTATTTGAAATATTTATGTTACAGATCAAAAACTAGATCTTCAAGAAATCTGTGCCAGTGATTTTTTGCAACGTTTGCTACTGTATATTGCATGTTTGTGACGTAGGCGACAGTTCTTTATGTTCTTTCTTTTCAAGACACCCTAAACCAGCTGTGCCATAGTTGGACAATTTATGACCTGAAACCAGATGTTTCAACTAAAACTTCTTTCATCAAATGTTCATCAAACTGGGCTGAGCTTTGGTTGCTGCAGGGCATCGTTGTCATGTAATACCTGCCCCCAAAGCTATAGGTTAATTTTTAGTTTTTAAAACATACAAATTATGCAGTTTGTCTCACACATTGTGGGGTTTATTTTGCAATATTACTTAAATATAAACAAGTACTGACCTGTATTATCTTGCATTCCTGCTGAACTATTTCATCTATTGCCCCGGCATCATTTCAAGTGTCTTATCTGTGCTGTTCATCTTACTTACATATCAATTACCCTTAGCTTAGGTGTATGCAATTCTGGATGTTTTCACTTATGTAACATGAATGACAATAATAAGGTTTAGTAAAAAGACAGATGTTTTACCAATCATGAAGAAAGTCTACTTTGTGGTATAGCCTACCTTAGATTTAATCAGGCAATACAGAGCAAAGCAGTGAATGAAAATGCTATTCTATATATATATATATATACATATATTAATATCATATCTTCTATATTCTATTCATATCTATATATGACAATGTATATATATATATATATATATATATATATATGTATGTATATAGGATATAAATATATATATAGATAGATAGATAGATAGATAGATAGATAGATAGATAGATAGATAGATAGATAGATAGATAGATAGATAGATAGATAGATAGATAGATAGATAGATAGATAATTTATAATTTCACTCACCTAGCACTTGAAGAAAAAAATCCATTCTTTTGTCCCTTTAAATGTCCGTGTTAAAATAGAACGTTTTTCCGTTTAGTGAAGCTCATTGCTGTAGCCTATATGGCCAATTAGGCAGTGTCTTACTTCATTTTTAATTTGTAGTTTTACTTCATTTTTCATTTGTAGTTTCTGCCCAAATTCAAATATTCAAATTCAATATCTCTTACTTATTGACTCTCCATCAGCGCTAGAAGTTCAAACTAATATCACGTAATTTACGTCTCTCTACAATGATTGGTTGAAATAGAAATACCAAGGGAGGCAAGCCTCCTCTGTCATGTGTTTTTCTCAACGTTCTAACCGCAGAAAGTGGAATACTCGATGGTGATTGGATAATGTTTATCACCAACGGAGCAGAGCCGTTGAGGCACAACTCCCCGGCTCTGGATTTGCATCCCCTCCCTCTCCTGCTCCCCAGACTCGCTTTAGTTTATGAACGACTGTAATTACATCGGCAGATTCGAGGGGAAGAGCAGCGGTGGTTCCGAGTCCGACTTCAGTAATATTCTGAGATTAAATTAAATATATAACTGGGAGTTTTATTAAAATTAAACCGTCTTTCTCTCATTGCCTCCCCTGACGAGCCGCCACTGATGGATAGATAGATAGATAGATAGATAGATAGATAGATAGATAGATAGATAGATAGATATTCAATGTAATTTATATTTATATTGTAGACTTACTTAGCCTATATGAAGAGAGTGAGAGTGAAATGATAAAAGGTGTGCACTTGTGCAGATTCCCAAAAATTCCAGTCCAGGTAACGTTAGACATGTCAGTAGGTCTTGAGACACAGCCTGTGCCCTCTCTCTCTCTCTCTCTCTCTCTCTCTCTCTCTCTCTCTCTCTCTCTCTCTCTCTCTCTCTCTCTCTCTCTCTTTCTCTCTCAGAGGGCTGGGTTGAGCCTACAAAACACCTGAGGGAGAAACACGAAAGTACAGTTGGTTTTCGGGAAAAGGGCAGGACGATAGAACCATCATTCCCACCTGAAGAGGACTGGAGCCCTGCTTCATCATTTCACAGGTTGGTCGGTCTCGAGATATGTTCTTCGAGAAGGAAGGGAAAATTAGTAAAAACTTTAATTCGTGCAATGACTTTAAAAATGTACTTTTCGGTTCCCACGTGGTTTGACGCAGAACAATGACATTTTGAAGAAGTAACGTTACAGCAACTTCTGTTTACTCCGCCTCTGAAAGGCTGCCATTGGCTTCGCGTTGTTTCCTGTCTTTTGTTCAAGGTGTGTCGCAAGAAGTCGAGATCCGAAGAGCCAAAAGCGTTTCAACGATCTGCTGTCAGAGCCCGAGCACTAAACCCGTTAGCAGCTACAGGTGAGTCTTTCCATAGTTCAATTCTACTAAACCACATTTTGTTTTGCCAGCATAACTTCGAACGGTGACAAATTATGCAATGGTATTATTATACCATCAGTGCAAATATATAAGTAATATTATTATTAAAGTAACATATTATTAAAACAATAAAGTAACAGTGTAGAGCACTGAGAAAGGAGCCGTTCAATTTTAACAAAACAAATAAATTGCAGAAGTAATATCAAGAAAGATAAATGATGAAGACTTCATGTACTAAAGGGGTTTAGTGATGGATACAGACTCAAGTTTATTCACCATTCTTCATGTTAGCTGACTGACTTAAACATTATCAAATATGTAGTGTTTCAGTTTACTTTTATCCCCCCAAAATTTCAAAGGTGTTTGTGTATATTGTGCATTCTGTCAAAGTGTAGTCTCGATTTTGCTGTGATCGCAGAGTGGACTCAATCTGACTTCCTGTGGTGGCCTTGCTTTCCTGTCCTGTGTCTGCTTGTTTCAGGGATTGTGTTTTTTGAGTCTGTATGTTGTCAAGCTGCCTGTCAGTTTTTATCCGAAGCGACGTACAATACATTGAAAGTATACATTATAATGTGTTTCCTGGAAATCAATCCGGCCTTACTAGACCCATATGGTTGACCTACATAAACGAACACATATGTTTCGTATGAGAGTGATATTAGTGAAACACAGACACTAAATCACTCTTCTTTCAGTTCTCCTAAAGTTGCTTGCGTCAAAACGATAGACTGTTTATAAGTTCAATTTTAAACGGATAGTTCACCCCCAAAATAATCATTTACTCCGGCTCATGTCATTCCAAACCTAAATGATGACCAAATTAAAATTTCTAGGTGAACTATCCATTGAAGCGCCACTTGTGTGTATTGTAATAGGTGATTTATTCTACATCCGTTGAGGTGGCATACTTTTCCTCTCGTTTACTTTTCTGTAGACATTGGTGATCTCCCTTTCAGAAATGTTTAACCTTGGACAAAGGCAAGTGAAGGTGACCTGTCCCTCATGGTAATGCTATGTAATGTTAAAATTAAGAAGCTTGTTTACTGACTTGTTTACAGTGTAAACTTAGGTGTTAACTATTCGGATAAGTGCTGTGCCTTGTAACACAATGTATGTTTAGTTTACCTGAAGTTTAGTTTACCATTGAATGAACTGTTAGACCCCGTATACTGCTGTATTCTCCTTCGAACTGTTGTTGATAATATTTTAATCGAACCTAAGAGAAGAGCTTCATCTTAGCTGTTAGTGTGTTGAAAGATTGTTTCACTTGCTAAGTGTTATGCAAGTTTCCTCTTAGAGTTCTGTTAGTTTCCGCCAAAGAGATGAATGACACATTGCCAAGTATGTTCAGTAAACACCCATTAACCTTTTGCATTCTCTTTGTGGGCCGGTAGGCGTTTTGTTATTATAAAAGGAAAGATCACTTAGGAACACTTATATTAGTCAAGTTTCACTTGATGGTTTACTGTTGTATGCTTGCATTGTTGGTTATATTTCATGTTCAATGACATCTAATGAACTTTGATAAGAC